GCTGCCATTACCATCAACCTCATTTTCTGGCTCGTCACTTCATTCATCTCCGTCAATCCGACAGTTCAGGAGTATAACCCCAAGGCTGGTCTCGCTCAAGCAGCGATGGTGGCAGTGTACTGTACATACCTGACCATGTCCGCTGTGTCTATGGAACCCGACGATAGACAATGCAACCCTCTGATCCGGGCCCAGGGAACCCGGACAACATCGATCGTCATAGGCGCAATCGTTACGATGCTTACTGTTGCTTATACTACTACGCGCGCTGCCACTCAGAGCCTTGGTATGGGGTCCAATGGCGCGATCCGGCTTCCCGAGGATGATGAGCACGATCTTGTTACCCAGCAGCCTGGCGCTCGCCGCGAGATGCGTGCCGAGGCCCTGCGTCGCGCAGTTGAAGAAGGGAGTCTTCCAGCAGACGCCCTTCTATCTGATGACGAGAGCGATGCCGGCAACAAGTCACCTGGCGACGACGAGAGAACGCAGACGCAGTACAACTATAGCGTCTTCCACATTATCTTCTTCCTTGCTACTGCCTGGATCGCTACATTACTTGCGATGAGCTTCGATCAGTCGAAGCAGGATGGCGATTTTGCTCCTGTTGGTCGCACCTACTTTGCGAGCTGGATCAAGATCGTCAGCGCTTGGGTTTGCTACGCTTTGTATACCTGGACCCTTGTAGCCCCTGTCATTTTGCCCGATCGTTTTGATTTTTCGTAGAGCTTCTCTTGCTCTCCAGGAAAACGCATCTTTTAGGAGTTGTTCGGATGCTCATTTGTCGGGTGAGCAACATGATTCAAGGCTCGTTTGCATAGCTATACGTTGGTAATAAAACTGTCGCCTTTCGTAAGAATTGATCATATTTACGTCTATTAGCAAGGCCTACATACCATCGACGATAGACGGCATGGTTGATTGTCACTCCTGCGTACTCATGTTGCTCGTGTCACTATCTTGAATGGTGGGCCTTCAGTTTGAAACTTGAATTCTTACGACACAAACAAACAAAGCATGACATGCTGGCGTTGACTTCTATAATCAACATTTTTTCTCTCGATGCTTTCTTTGGCTACCTGTCGACAGCTGTTTCAGCTCCCACTGGCTGCCTGGAAAGTCAGCTAGTGCATAGTCCCTTGTTCAATCTCATGCAGCAGCCGGAATTCGATCTTTGTAATGATGGCTTCTCTGTGATCCATCTATGCCGCCACTGGATTTGCTTGGATCCCCTCCAGCGTCACAGTAACGGCTCCAGCTTGGACCAACTGGGTTCTGTTAGCTTGCTCATGTTGCTTGGTCAACTGCCTGCAGTGAACAACTTACAGCGCGTGACAGATCATCGATGAGATCCTCGACATCTTCAATTCCGACACAGAGTCTGATGATGTCTTCGGGCATTTGTCGCTCTTTGCGGGTCTTGGCGTCAATGCTCGCGTGACTCATCTGGCAAGGCATACTGATCAAGCTGTTGACGCAGCCGAAGCTCACGCTGATACCCCACAGGCGAGCAGCCTCCACGATCCTTTCGGACAGTGAGGCGTCGCCCGTCTCAAAGGACAGCACTGCTCCGGCACCGCGAGCCATCGACCAATGCAAATCGTACTGAGGGTGAGATTTGAGGCCGGGATAACGCACACGAAAGCCGTGATTCTCGAGAAACTCGGCAATTTGCTGCGCGTTCGATTGCTGCTTCTCCATTCGAATAGCCAAGGTCTTGACACCTCTCATCAATAGGAAGGAGTCGTTGGGCGACAATCCACAACCACTGGCGTTGATGGTGAAGTATAATTTGTCGGCGACTGCGGCATCGTTGACACCAATGATACCGGCCATGATATCGTGATGGCCCGACAAATACTTGGTGCCGGATTCGTAAACAATATCGGCGCCAAGATCCAGGGGGGTTGCATAGCATGGGGGGAGAGCATGGTGTTGTCGACGACGACAAGCGCCTTGTCATTGACTTCGTGTACCACCCTCGCGATCGAAGGTATGTCCATGACCTTGAATCAAAGGAGTTCGTCGGGGTCTCGAGGAGCACCATGGCTGTCTTTGTCACGAATACGACA